ACGTTCAGTGACTTTATTCTACACGATACCTGAGGGTGGGACATGTTTATTATAATTGTACAAAATATAATAACAGAATCAATCTTTATCAAATTAACAAATTTGTAAAGATTCATTCATTTTACACTGTTCATGCATATATAAATAGTTATAAAAATGTATTAATATAAAATGAGTAGTGTAAATGTAGATAAAAGTTGATGTAATCAATTGTGAGAATCGTTTCAAAGCTGATGAGATTTATATAAACAAGATATTCGCACAATCGTGTTACATTAATTACAATCAGAATTGCAATACATCGTTAAAAAATTTAATGAAGCGTAAAAGTGTCTGATAAAGATTGAACTGCTTATCACAAATTGTACAAATGATTTTTTTTCTTATATATTTATACAATAACGAGGATTATGTACAATTGATGTGATGCTAATTTCATCCAAATATCATTTTAAATACAGTAAGCACATAACTATTGTATAATACAAAAGTATCTATTGTTCATCCAACGAGACAAGTTTGTTGGACAAACTATGTATACTAAAACAATTACACAGAATTGTTATTTTGTAACAAACATCAATACGAAATAACTATTTCAACTTATCTTTGTACAATTCTTTACAATAACATCATTAAAAAAACACGTTACCCATACATTGTCATTTGTCCTTTCTTCATTACCTATAAATTTAATACAAAAGTATCTATTGTTCATCCAACGAGACAAGTTTGTTGGACAAACTATGTATACTAAAACAATTACACAGAATTGTTATTTTGTAACAAACATCAATACGAAATAACTATTTCAACTTATCTTTGTACAATTCTTTACAATAACATCATTAAAAAAACACGTTACCCATACATTGTCATTTGTCCTTTCTTCATTACCTATAAATTTATAACTTTTTTTTTATCAAAATTAAAATTTCATTAAAAATACTCTATCTAAAAAGTAAGAAAGATTTCTTCCTTGTATCAATTAAAATACATCAAATCAGTTATTAAATGTAATAGCACAGTTTTCATTGTTGACGCCAGTCATTAGAAGTATCGTCAATCCTTTTTCATATACTAAAAAATTTTAATTACGTGTTGTTAACAATAAATCGCAAAATAACATTAAAACGTACATTACTGGATGCGTTAATTTTCTGCATTTCGCAAAAAATGGCAATGATGGAAGGATTATAAATTGCAGTCTTCCAGGAAAGGCCACTTGAACAGCATGAAAATCATCCTCTTAATTCAATTTTCCCTTTTATTGTTCGGCTAAATTTTGTAAGACGTTACGAATGTATATTTCCGTCTGCATTACAATTATGGAAACGAGTTTATACAATATTTGATATATACTTCTGATGCATGTTTTCGAAAGTAAAAAATTTTCCTTATTTAATTCTAAAATGCCACATTATCGTTATTCGTTACATATTTACAAAATGTTCTTATAAAGAGTCAACATTAATAACGTGAGTTCTTTAAAAAAAATTGTTATAAAGAACATTGTTTTCCTTCTTTATCAATTCAAACAAAGTACATTTTGCTTTGCAAATCACCGGCTCTAAAATGAACCATGAAATTTATCTTCGTGAGGAAGAGTAAAATGTGAGGAAAGTAAAAATTCTAGATCCATTATAATCAACTATTCACAATTCTAAGAAATAGGAGCAATGTCTCTCTTCGCTCTTGGCACAGCCACGCGAGTAATTTGTTTAATAATAAATTAAATTACTAGCATTAAGAATAGATTCATCAATAACGTGATGATGTAATTTACATTTTAAGAATACTAGCAATAATGATCATGATACTTCTGTTTTATAACTAAAAACAATTCATTCAATGCAATTGTAATGCAACATAAGAAACGCTATGTATAGTCTTCTTTTAAGACCATTCAAGTTATTTGGATAATTTGCTGATTACTCTGATCAAGGCACCGTTTTCATCTTTTAGCCTCTGGTTTTCGCATTTCAATTGGTCCATCACCTAGAAAAGAAGAATGTAAAACCACCTTATGTAAGTCTATCGTAACTTTCACAAAACGAGAATAAATAAAAAAAACAACGAAAAATACAAAGGCAATGCCATTGTAGAATGGTTCAAATGAATGCTCACAAAATTAAGAAAATAGAAAAAGAAGGAAGGGCAAGGATGCAAGCAAGAGTATTAAAGGCAGCTAGATTTAAAAATTAAAAAAGTACAAAACAGGTGCATTAGAACCAAACAGTAATGTAATATAATATGTAGCAAGCAGATATCATTTTTAAGCTACACATTCAACAAAAGGACTATTATAAATGTATGATAAATTGAGATATGTAAATAATAGTCGGTTAAGACCTTTTCTTCACTTTGTGAAGTAATATTTCCAATACTCTGATTTGTTATCTCTTCTCAACATTACTTTAATATTAATAAGAACTAAAAGCAGAAAATATAAAATAAAAACAAACAGTGATTGTATGTAAAGTAATTTCATGTGTATACCTTCACATTTTTACTTGTTCTGTACATTCGTCGACAATGGATATTATTTTATTTTTATGAATTATTATTTATAATTATTGATTTCTCTCATGCACCTTACAAGATGTATAAAATTACTATCAGATGAACAGTGATACGAATGATATACTGGGCATTAAAATACGAAACAGTGCATAGGGCAATAATAGGCACTGAACATGCTTTCTTAGGGAAAAGTGTAAATTGTATATATATTATTTAATGTGTATACTTTTTAGAAGATTAATAATTGTAATGAAATTTATTAATTAGATCTTGATAGTTTTATTCTCAATGGAATTAATATTAATGTGAAATATTCTTACAAATAAAATAAAGGACAGACTGCGTTTTCTTTATTTATATAAGAGATGAAAATCTAATGATATAGAGAAACCAATCAAACTACATTTCACGAAATTGTCAATGCCATTAGTATGATAGAAGAAAACATAGTTTCAGTACATTAACAAAACAAAGACACTTGATGTAAGCTTTAAGTTTTCGTATGAGAAGCTGTTACAGATTTAAAATGAAATTATTTTTATGATCACGTGTACGCGCGGTACACTTTTCAGAAGCTGTATTTTAAATATAAAGTCAGTGAGCGACATCGTTTCAAAGTTTTAATATTGCGATTAAGACGTCAAAGTCGTAAGTAATTAATCAATTAATTAATGTTGTACGTGAAGTACGATGTACACTGTTAACGCAGATGCTGTCATTATGTCCTTTACCTATTTAGTAGTATTGGTGAGTTTGGATACGACGCGGGTAAGTGCCCGATTTTCGGCTTTCAATCTCTCATTTTCAGCTTTGAGTTTTTGTAATTGCTGTAAACAGTGAAACGATTAGCCCGAAATTCGCTTGCTTTCGTGAAAACCCCGCCAGACAATACTATATGTATTCTAACATTTATTATAATAATATAATATGATTTTTAAATTATTTACCAGAAATAATAAACAATGTAAACCACACAGAGTACAAATCAAAAAGAAGTACCAAGTGCCAATTGAAAATCATTATACTGCATACATAATAAGCATGATTACTTAATAAAAAAAAAATACTTAAAATAAAAGCACCAAAAATGGCAAATAAATAAAAAAGCAATGCATTAAAAGCTGCTTGTACTTTTCGGTTTTTTCTCTGAAATTAACCACACTAGAAATGCTGGCACCTTCCACCGTATTTAGTCATAACAATCAAAACATATTTTTAAAAAATTATGACGTGCATTCTAACTAAAAATATGTAACAAGGATTTTGTTGTAGAGTAATGATAATAATTAAAAGCAAGGTGTTTCAAGTAACCGTTCAATTGAAATATGATTTTCTTAGTTACCTATATCATAACACTTTCAAAATGTAATTTTCTATAAAGAACAGAAATGAAGAAAAAATGAAAAAGACAATTTATCAAATTCTCACCTTCAATTCTTCTTCCATTTCCGAAAGTTTCCTTTCCATTGCTCTCCTTTCCCTTTTTTCAGCTTCTGAGAGGACTGTTTTATTTTGGGCACTTTGTGCTTTGTCCAACAAATTTCTGGCTTCCTTTAATTGTTCGTCGGATCGCCTTAACTTCTCTTTAAGTCTTTCATTTTCGGCCTGAGATTCTTCGTATAATTTTTTATAGTCTAGTTCGCCGTTCTCGGAAGTTGTAGATTTTGTTCTAACCAACATAGGAGGTGCTTCCGATGATATCGATGATATGGATCCTAGCCTGTTGGATCTTCCAGAGCGATCGTTCCCACTCTAAAGGACAAGATTAAAAAGTAATTACACAAAAATATACGAACAATGAATTACACGGAAAATATGCTTTTGCAAAAGTCATCCTTGAAGTAACATTTTCAGTTCTTTAACATATAAAATGTTAGTTTCCTTACAATGTATCCTTCAGAACTGGCTAAGCTTTGCAAACTAGAACTTCTGGATCCTATACCATCCGATTTTCGTCTTGTTTTGTTAAAACTTTCAGTTCTTTGTACTTTTGGATGATTACGGCTTACATTAAGATTTAAATATTTATAACTCGTTGATGGTTGTAAACGCAAGGAATTAATATTTGTCGGCAACGTGATACTTCCATATCCTGATGAAGTTCCACCATACGTTGTGTATGGATTCTGATAATTCAAATTACTTGTGGAATTCGAGTAAGCAGTTTTCCTAAACGGGTCGGTGCTTTTCGTAGTCTTAGTTAAAAAGTTTGGCAATCCTATCGGATTCCCATTAATACCTAACAGACCTGAATAGCTATTTTGATTCAAGGGAAATAAACCAGTCATACTCCGCGATCTGTTTCCGAAAATTGAACTCCCGTTTGCCGATGCCTGTGCTCTCAATCCTGCGGCTGTCGTTGGCTTTCCTTGAGATCTTTTTCTATAAGATGACATTGTTTACAAAACTGATGAAATCGTTCTAAAATTATAATCCCTTTGAACTATTTTCCTCTCAAAATAATAGAAGCCCTTTGGAGATCACTTTCGACAGAGATGAATAATTGAAATATTGTATATGCCTTTGTTACACTGTTTCACGGATTTAAAACGATCTAGCCTTAATGACAGCAAGTATTTGACTGACGTAGACTGGGAGGAGGAACTTAAGACATCAGCCAGTTTACTCTAAAGCATCAGTTTGGTATGCTATTTATAGAACACACGAATAAACCTACACTGACATTAAAGTCGTATGTTTTGGAATAAATATATTTGACGCTTCACACTTAGAACATTTTACATGTTGACTAAATATTATGAAATATGTATAAAATTAATTCATAAATTGCGCCAATCCCAATTAGCACAAAAAGTTTTGTTATCAAGAATATTTTTTTCTAGAATAAAAACATACTTTTATGTACATATAAAATGCACCTCTGTGCGACAACTATTACCTAAAATATATGGGAAACTGTTTATACACTGAAATATTATAATTATCAATTATAATATGGATTATGCCCATCAAAATGTATTACATAATGTATATTATACAAAGTTAAATGTACGGAGTTTCTCCTCTTTACGTATACATTCTTTAATACCGTGCAAACAATAAATGAATTCCTTCTCATGCGTTTTAAATGTCAAAGAGTCACATCGTTCCAAATGTCGATAGAATATTTTTAGGCGGTGCCAGACCTATGTTCATGATTAATTTTTGTTACTTTTGTCTCTGACCTCTCTATTTCAAGTCAACCCGCAGATGTTATTACACATGCTCAGTCATTTGAACATATAGCTTTTATAAATTATTATAAAATGAAGTACTTATTGAACAAGAGAGTTAACGTAAAACAGATCATGCATAATCCTACAGAGTAATACATTTAAAATAAATATCCAATTTTAAATGCAGAGTATAGAATATTCTAAATGCAAAATCCACAAATCAATAGGATTGATTTTATCTGCGCGTTTGATTTTAATACGTGGCCAGATGGGATATAGGTGAATAAGAAATGGAATCCTATTTTTAACGAAGCATGCACGAATAGAGGTTAATCTTCCCAGAGACTAACTAAAAATAACACAAAGTTTTTGTGCTTCACGAAACCGAGCTCGTATTGTAAAACTCATGCATATAATACAATGATTTCATTAATGCAAACGTGAAAGTAATATAAATGTATATTTGCCAGTAATCTTTACTAATGCACTTAAATTCAATAATTATGTCAAATAAAGACTTCTTTTAGAAGTACGAAAGAATTTCATAATTTAATTAAACAATGATTATATTCGAAGAGCAAAAGTAAAGTGGTTGTAGATATTATTTGTAATTCTGAGATAATAAATCAAAATTAAACTACTTGCCTCGTGGTTGATTTTGGACTCCTCGCAATCACCGCCACCAGTTAAGTCTTCTTTCTCGGGATCAATTTCCTGCAACGTTATTGTACATATGAAACAATTAATAAATAATAGATCAGATATATCAGATAAAATGACTCAATCAAAGGCATGGTAGCGACTCGAAACAAGTTAGAATCGGCTTTAATAAACTGATAAACTCTTTCAATAACGTTTGATACTAACATCCATATCAACGTGAACAACACCGGTTGACCGTCTCTTAGGTCTCCGTCTCCTTTGTATAACAGCTTGAGTAGCTTGCGCATTCCTGCTATCATTCTCCTTATCTTGTTCTGAATCATATCAACAGACAAAATAAAAATGTATATTTATGTACTCGAATATGTCCACTGTTATGTAGAATGTACTGAAAATGATTGCAAGTGCAAAAATAAGTCGAAAACGTAGAATCGAAAATATTTCATACATGCTTCGTTCTCGAGAAAATCAGTTGTTCGAACCAGTGTTCTGAATCTTCATGTGTTTTCAAACGCGACAACAATAGATATTTGTAAATAGAAACAGAGTTTGTAATACGTAGGGACAACATACATACAATAAACTTATCATTCCTCAAGTGCGAGGATACTTGATGGAACGCGAAAATCCTTTTTTTCCGGAACGAAACCTCGTACATATAGAGAACCAATATTTCATATTTTTTACTACGATTGTCGTTACACTTTTTATATATATGTATACATACCTTTATCTTCAGGCTGTTTTAAGGGCCGTCTAAGGGGTAATGTTACCGTTGTTTCTGCGCTACTTGTTGCAATAGTTTCAACTGGAGCTGATGATGGTCGTGGCATAGTAGTGCCCGAGGAAGGTCTTCTCATATAGGCTGTAGTTGTATCCGGATTAGAAAGGCTAGTAGCTCTGTTGTTAGCGTCTTCTAACTGGAACTGAATAATAAAATATTGCTCAATATTATTTCGCTAAATTATTATTATTATAATATTACGTTAAAAATGATTCAGTAATTAAAAACAGTGATGTATCGTACAAACCTTACTTCCGTTGTCCACTTTCAACCTCCAAGAAGGTCGTCTTTCAGGTAAATTAAGCTCTTCAGGTTTACTTGCCGTAACAGTAGTAGGAGTTGCTGTTGTTATTGTAGCTGTAATCGAGGCTGTAGTGTTGCTGGTAGTGGTTGCAGACTGGGTTGTTAAAAAAGAATTAATAAACAATTGTAAAGCTCACATTGGTATTAGGAAGTTCAGTGTATTATAAGTATTGGAGATATGCAAACTGAAATACGTGTATAGAATTATTATTTAGATGTTCTGGCTACACTCCTGGTTATAAATGACTGCAGTATTATTTGAACAAGTAAGCGCATTATAAAGAGATTCACCTGTGTAGAGGATACTGTAGTGGGAGTTTCGCTGTTTTGCTGCTTCTTCTTCACTAGTTGTTCCGCGCTCTTGATCTCGTCTAATGTCACGCCTTGAGTTGAACGCCGAGTTTCCCTTACCCTCTTCGCATGTGCTTTTCTTTGCGTTTCACTTTCTTCATCACGAACAGGAGGAACGAAGGATCTGGACAATGTTTATACATATTATGCTACCAACGTACACTAAAATTTTATGTTTGTTTCGAAGTTTCTTTTTGTGAAAATTAATAAAACCTTAAAAAAAGCATTAAACATCATGATAAACATAATTTACAAGCAGCACTTACAAGTATCACATAAAACAATTATGTCTTTGTCTCAACATAAAACAACTATGTTGTTGTATCAACTTGGTATCGGTCACAACCATATATAAATATTACTGATGTAACTGTAATATTTATGGAACAGAAGTATATTTGATTGTCTAACAAATATATTTGTATCACGCAGATAATACATGGTAATTCCATGCATTTTGAGTCTTGATATATTTGTTTCAATACCAGGAAATTTGTTGATGTTGGTTTACAAAAGAATGTATGTATATTGTAAATTGTTTAACTGTTTAAAGTGGCTGAGAAAATTAACTCATGTACTTCAGTGGCAGTGTTTCTTTTAATCTAAACATATTATTTCTTATTAGCAAAGACGAGGCAGTGGTTATTGGGACAAGTAATATCTCAGGATATAAGTGTATGCAACTGAAATAAATAATCACACTGCAAAGCAAATTTGCATGCCACTGCCAATAACTTAATGTTGTGTGTACATGTGAATATTGATAAAAGAAAATATGCACAATCACACATGTTTCAAGAGAATCTTCTCAGGTCAAGCATTAAGTACCCACTTGAAGAAATTCTTGAAGATATTTCCTGGACTTAGCTTGCTCCCTCCTGGTGTAGTAGGAGTTCCAGGAACTGCTACTGAATTGTTTGCAGTTGTACCTTCCACTGGTTGAACACTACTCAGCCACATTAACATTGCACGATGCAAATATGAACATATGAACTTCAATCTTAAATATTTTTCTATGTATAACATTTTACGCATATATGCGTACTCGTACACTTCATAGTGATATACTTTAAAGACCCTACATTTGCCTGCATTTCTCAGACAAATTCATATTAAATTCGCTTGCTAATTGATTCAATGAAAAAATAATAGAAACGTAACGTTCCATTACTTTCTCATAAACACGATCAAAATTAATTCTGTTCTTAATAGTTACCTGCGAATTTGATTAGTTGGAATAGGACTTGTTGTTGTAGTTGTTGTTGTTGTGGCAGTTGTAGTAGTAGTAGCTGTAGTAGTTGGCAGTGTACTAGACACTATTGTTTTAGATGTAGATGTTGGTGAAAGTGTATTGCTTCCTTGTGGCAGTCTTGAGAGTTCCAAGTTTAATTTTGCTTCTTTTCTTCTAAAGTTAAAACAACATAATTGTTATATCATAAAAAAAATACAAAAAGATTGGATTTCAATCATGCACCTTTTATGAAATCATTCAGATTATAAAAAGTACACAATATTCTAATGTATAGAAAAATTGATTAAATAACACTTAAGCCAAGCAAAAGCAAAGAATGGGGAAAGCTTGCTTTGTACATTAACAATTGAAGTATGAACATAAAGTATGTAATCAGAAAATCAATAGGAAAGTTCTAACACAATACCAGAACCAAAGAATCATCAAATTATATTGTACATATATTAAAAGCATTAATATATATATATATCATGCGCACCTGTGGGTTTCGCGTAAAGATGCAGAGCGGGTCGTAGTATTGGTGTGAGTAGGAGGAGCTGCGTTGCAGCAATGGAGAGTAGGGCAGGAAAACGGCTTGACGCGAGCTCGTAATGCCAAGTACTGCTCATAAAACCTGCATAACATGCATTATGCCATGCATACAACTACACTAATTTTCTATACACGTAAAGCTTAGAAGCTACAGCGTTGAATTTTCGACAAACAAAAAAATTTTAAATGCTCTTAAAAATTGAAAAACACACATGTAAATATGCAGGATCATAAATAATTGCGGTATAAAAGATGTAGTTGTGTTAACGAAATTCATGTGACATAAGAGATTGAAAGAGAATAATGTTGCGAATAATGTACATTAATCTTCTTGACTCACTTTTCATCTGTTTCGAAACTATGCGTCCTCGTTAATACAACATCAGATTCTGTGTTAAGTTTATTCGGCATGGTTGGGGATTTAATATTTTTATCCTTTTCCTCAAGTCCTATGTGCATATAAAATATAAAGTAGTACTGGTTTACAGTTAACAGTTAATTATATTAGTTAAGACGCTTTTGCTTAAGACTTACTTGTAGATAAAGTATTCGTTGCTTCTGTATTTTGTATCCTATTCCTGAAAGAACCAGAACGCCGCCAAGATGGTATAACACCTTCTTCGTTATCAGTCTGTTGTTTTGGAGGCATTATTGGTGCCTGGAAAACCAAAAGATTGCAAGTATTTTTTTAAATAATTTAAGAAGTTCGTAATCAGTATAGACAAAAAATTACCTGATTAGGAACTTTAGCATCAATAGGAGACGAAGCATTACGCGAAGATGTTTCTTCTTTATTTGCTCTATTTTTCTTTTCTGCAAAAGTAAAATTAATACAATTTTAGAAAATATTATTTAGTTCTCATAAAGTTTCTTCAGTAAAGGAAGGAATCCATTTACTTTATTCGCATAATAATCAAATTTTTGAAGTACTCGTTATGAGAAGATATAGAGAGAGACAATTGTATCTTACAGCACATGCAACAAAATATAATTTTAAGAATATAAAAACAGTCTTACAGACAAAACTCACCATCATCTGTAAGACATGGAGAGTGGTTTGATTCATTAGACTTATCAGATTGATTGGAGTAAGTGGAGGAATGTGAGTCTGAGCTAGTCTCAGATTCACCTTCACCATCACTCTCTTCCATATCTGTTTCACGTGTTGCTTCTGTCCATGCAGCATTGTTACAAGAAATACAAATTGCTGTTATAAGGTAAGTAAAATAGACTTGCAGATCTGAAGTGTGTAATAACGTTTCGTAAAAAAATTCTAAATCTTTGAGAGGAAAACATACACTTAAGCTTAAAAGAACTTTTTCATAGAAAAGTCAAGAATGGTCGAGAAATATTAGGAATTCATGGTTTCCGTTTTTTTTTAAGTCCACAGAGTGCCCTAATAATGTTACTCTGTTGCATATTTTTTAACAAAATAGTAAATCGTAAACTGTCATGTCAAGTTTTTTTTTGCAAGTGTAGATTATTCAAATTCAAATATTCACCATTTAGTCATACGATTAAGTCATTTCCAAAATGTACAAACGCGGGCATGCAAATCAACAAACCCTCTAAATAAAAACGATAAACAGGAAAGGGAACATACCAACATCGCTATTTGTTCCAGTACTAGAATCTTCTTTATCAGACTGAATTTCTAATTCAACCTTTTTAACTTTATTTGGTGTTTCTTCTTCAAATGTTTCCACAGAATCAAGCGAAGTTATAACATTTTCATTATTTGTCGATACACTGTAATATAGTAATAAATATATTACATTTTCCTAAGAAATTATTAATCATTCGTAACACGTACCGTTTCTTTGGTATAGTAGGCTGTTTTTTGTTAATTATTTGTGGGTGATCCTTCATTAATTGTTGTTGTTTTGTTTTCAGCTCCTCCAAATTAGTTAATATATTTGTGTCAGCAATGTCAAATGCAGTTTGATCCTATCAATGTAAAATTATGAAAAAGGCCTATTTCGGTTATTTATGATACAAAATAATTGTAATCTTACAGCATAATTCTTAATGTCCATATTACAAAAATGTTCCACTAAAAGTTCGCACGCTTCCAATTGTCCCCAATGTGCTGCAGCATGCAAAGGTGTCCAGCCATCGAAATCTTGAGCGTTAACATCACACCTAGCTTGTAGTAATATACTGAAATACAAGTTCTGGCTATAATAAGTAATAATTTCATTTTATCTCCTTTCTTAGATACTCTTTTCTTAATAATTTATTTCAATATAATCTGAAGGTTCTTACTCCATAACATCAACATAGCCTTTAGCAGCAGCAACATGAAGAGCAGTGGCTCCTGACTTTGGATGAATTGAATCCTTGCCTTGTGCTCCAGCTAGCCATGCTCTGGCATCAGTTAACATTGACCTTTCTTCTTCGCTTCTGGCTTGATCACAGTCTATACCTAAGAACCAAATGTAAATTATGAAATATGGATTATAATAATCGACTGGCTGTAACATTATTTTATACAATACAATTCCAAACACAAACCAGCTTTGTTTATATGTTGCCGCAGCATATTTTCCATTTCAACACTTTCTGCAATATCAAGAGCCAATTGACCGTCATAGTTAACTGCTGCCAAATTACATCCCTTTTCTATCAAATATCTATAAAATTGTATTTCTTTGTTTAAACAAATTCTTGAAGTCTACTGTTGTTTTAGAGTTATTCACTCAAAAATGTCAGTATATTCAGCATCAAACTAAATACAACACTAACTTAGCTATAGATATAAAGCCACAAGAAGCAGTTGCATGTAATGGTGTCCATCCTTCATTATCTCCACAATTGATATCAGCTCCCTTTTCCACTAAAAATTCGACCATATCCAGATCATCATTGATACATGCCTATAATTAAAATATTATAATTCCTTTAGTTATAAGATATAATACAAATGGCAAAATAAACCGTAAAAAACATAATATTTATACATTGAGGGAGAAATGCACCTGAATCACAATTTATGGAAATTTTAATAATAAATATGCGAATCATACGTACACCTGTAATATTTTATATGTTTGTATTATTACTAAAAATAGGTATTAATAATTTAGTTCATTTATAAACCTAAGATTGTCTA